CTACTGTGATTCGATTCAATTTGATTCGAATTCGAATTATTCACACACCTCTACTCTAGGCGTAAAGGTATTTGTCAGTAATCTATAAATCTAATCAATATTTATATATATATATTTCGTTATTCGTTGGAGAGCTCGCCATGTTCTAGTTCACGTTCATTTAGTGTATTATTAATGCGTTTAGAATTTTTTGAAGCAGAAGATTTGAACCCAGTCAACTTCTTGGAAAGATTTTTGCAAGCTCTTTCATGATTGCTTGAATGTGATCTGCAAAATTATTTAAGAATTAAATTTAATAAAAATTTTTTTACCGTAAATTATATTTAAAAATAATTACGTAGCATTCGTTCTTTTATATCTGCTTTCCGAACGGTTCATTGAAAATTCTGGTTGTTGACCCACTGCTGATGAATTGTGCTCAATCAGCGAAAAAATTGTTTCGTTAGCTGTCTCATTTAAATCTTCAAAGTTTGTCGACGATTGTCTTAAGCTAAAATTAGAAATAGTGATATTATTACGATATGTCTTTGTACGGAATTCATTCATACTTACTTTATGGCATCTTTTAAGTAAATGTCAAAAAAATTTTTTTTCGCCTCTTTAAAATTTGAGTATTGGTTTGTTAATACATTTAAATCTTCATCTGAATAGTAATCCAACCTGTAAGGACAGTAAGATATACAATTATTTAATACAATTATTTAATACAATTTTATACATTTAATAGTTAACTTTTATGTATTTTTTATATTTTATATATTTTTATAATTAAAAATGTTCTATCTTATACATACGTTTTTAGTATAGCATACGACTTTATCAGGTGATATAATTAAGTCTAAAAATGGTAGAGAAGAAAAGAAGAAAAATAAAACAAAATTAAAGAGAATGTAATCCAATTTGTCTAATTGTCTACTAATTTCGTTATGTTAAACTTATTAAACAGTTACTTACAAATGCTGCTTCAAAATTGTTCTTTGCACGTTGAAATTCTTGAATTTTCTTCTCTTGTCTTTTCACTTTTTCCTTTAATTCTGCATTTAATTTTAATAAGTCATCATTTGATGGCTTTTTATCACTAATGTTTTTTTTTAATATGATAGATTTAGATTAACTTTGATTAATTCTTTTTGTTAAATGAATTAATGTCATATAAACATTTAAAAAAAATAATTTTTACGCTATTTTTGAATAGCATATTAATAATTATTTTAAATACCTGCAAAATAAAAATAAAGAATAAGTAGGTATCTATACAGGCCAACGTAAAATTTTAATTCAAATGTTAAAATTAATCGTGTTTTGTCTTGTAGAGTTATAATTTTAATGACACAACTAATATTGAAAATAATAATTTTCAAAATATACTTACTTTATTGTAATGATGGTGATTAAAATAGATTTGTAACGACCAATTAGTCGAATAACTGACAATTATTATCACGATCGATCTAACGAGACTATATCTGTCTAAAGCTCATTAACTTATTGATTTCAATATATTTCACCAATACTGACACAAATTTCTGGTGTTATGTTTACGTTGTACAATCGTGTCGACATAAATAATGATGCTTTTACCGCAAATATTATAATAATAATTTTAAAATATATAAAATTGTTTGTAACAAACATTTCGTGAATTAAGCCATTTAAACAATTAAAAATATAAAACTTTTTGAGAATTAAGTTTCCCGCAGAGAAACCAAATAATAATAATAAATATTTAATAAATGTTAAAGATAATATAAGAAAATTATGTCCTTCTGCAACTTATGAATTTCAAATAGACCTATATAATTTTAATAAAAATTTAATATATATACATGAAGCACAAAGAAGATAATAAAGAAAACATAAATTTTATTTTAAAAGAATGTTGAAACGTCTAAAAAATGTTTAAAAACCAAAATCGATGGAAGTCGATATAACAGATTTGTAATTCCGAGCGCGCTAAGCGCTCATAAAGCTTAGCGAACCTCCTTAGATCATGTGGTAATGCAGGAGATGTATTGTTACATTTCTCACCCGACAAGACACTGTTAAAGACCATCAGCCCTGAGCAAATTTTCGTGCCAGCCAAAAAGCCCGGCGGGCCCGAAGGTAAGTTGTAGAGTGTCGATGTTATCGAGTTTTGACACAAATTTGCGATTTATTTGAATAATACATTATTAAGATTATGATTTTTATTATATAAATGCTTTATAAATAAGTATGAATACTTATAATGCTATAATATCAAATATATTGCCACAAAATTACATTTTTTTCAACTGTTTAACCATCTCTCTGGATGATCAAATTCGTATGGTAATTATAAAAATGCAGTTTTAAATAAAATTATAATAATATATTAGCAAGTTATAATACAGATAAATTACAATATATATGTAACATGAAACAACCGATTGTTTTAAGCGCGGACTAGCTCGTCGCAGGCCAGGCTCTCAACATGGCTCGTGCGGAGAGAGAGAAAGGATTGTGAATAAAATAATCAATTCTCGGTCTTATAACACATAAACTAACATTTATTATATACAGGGTGTCCGGTAATAACCGCCCAAAATCTCGTGGGCTGATAGAGCAGATTAAACTGAATCGAAAAGTCCTCTACCATTTTGCAAAATTTGCAATTGTTGACGAGATATTAATTTTTGATGATTGGCAAATAAGCACGTATCCGTCCGGCCCACCGCTGAATACGAGCGGTGGGACGATCATATCTCGTCGCTAGACTCTATCCCCACGCGCCTAGCAGCGCGGCGAGATACGACTGGCACGACCGATATTCAGCGGTGGGCCGGACGGATACGCGCTTATTTGCCAATTTTCAAAAATTAATATCTCGTTAACGATTGTGAATTTTGCAAAATGGTAGAGGACTTTCCGATTTAGTTTAATCTGCTCTACCAGCCCACGAGATTTTGGGCAGTTATTACCGGACACCCTGTATATACATAGCTAAACTTCGGTTGGACCTACCGGTTTTAGACGGAACAAGTATTCTTAACAATTATAATAAATCTCTCGGGACGCGAGTACGTAACAACTTATTAGGGATAAATCGCGACGGGCGACTACGTTAGAGTACGTACGCGAGATCGGGGGCGGAGCGCGGCGTCGGGCTTAGGCTCGGGACGGCACACCCTTGGGCGAGCGAAACCACTCTTTTGTGGCGGCCGATGGGGATGAGATCCGGGGGCCTAAGTCGGTCGACTTCGGTAGAGACCGAGGAGACCGCGAAACCACGATCTCCTTTTTCTCGTCGGCTGACTTCGTAGTCGGATCACAGTAGTTTCTCGTGCGCAACCACACGAGAAGCCGCTGACATCGGACTGTGTCCATCGTCCGAGTCTCCCCTTTTATACCTGTCCGCTACCCTGCGGACGGGTACGTCGGGGGAGATCGGTCGACTTCGGCTGTTTCCGCCGTCCGGGGTCCCGCGCTGCCCGAGGGTTGACGGCCCCTTGCTAGCGCGGTCCCGGCCGGTCGGTTTCGGTCGGTCGTACGTGTTCGGCGTGCGAGGCCGTTGGGCCTCGCATCGTCGTGTTTAAAAGAAGATGGCGCACCGCGCCTTACATCGCCCCGCGGTTGTTCGGCGGGACGGCATCCGGTCGGTGGTCGCCAAGCATCCGGGATTTCCGGGTATTGTCGGAACGATGCGAGGGTATAAGGTGGCGGCATCGTTACATCACCCTCCCGCTTTAAGGTGCCTGAACTAGAGGCACATTATCCAATTGGCGTATCGACCGCACGGATCCGTCCCCGTTGAAGCGGATTCGTTTCCCGCCTTCTCGTGCGGTTCACTTTCTGGACACGTGGGCCGAGAAATGTGGGACTTCTACGATGCGGTCAGGCTCCACCTGGACTGGAATTGGCGGAGGAGGAAATGGCCCCATGACTCGCGCTGGTTCCAGTGTCGGTCGGGGCGGAGGTCGCCCGTACGGAAAAAAACTATTAAAATGCCAATAGTAACAATTGGAATGCTAATAGTAACTATTATACGCCAATAGTTATAAATACTCAATACTACTGCGATGATTACTTAACACTAGTAATAAGTAGTTTTCACTACACAATTATTAACTAGTGACCAGTGTAAACTTTTGAAATGTAATAGTAAGAACTACTGAAATAGCCACTATTGCAAACATTTAACAGTATATATTATTCTCATACCAATCATTGAATAGTACAAACCATTATGTGCAGAAGTGTGCAATATTAAACCAACCTATAATAATGCACATTCTACAGTGTGTAATAGTACTAGTAGTGTTTCAGCACTACTGCAGTGAATGCTTGTGTTTTCTACTACACTAGTGATACTTAGAGTCCGTTTCAGGCATGATGCAGATTATGTATCATTTTATTTTTGGTTTTTACTATTAAATCAGGATAAAATGATACATCAAATGCATAATGTATGAAACATAACATACCTTTAGTGACATTAATAGTGTTCAGCACTACTGCAGTAATACTATTAATGATTTTTATTTTGGTTTCATAAACGTTTATTTAATTGTTTATTTTTAATTATTTTTGGTTATGTATGTACATTCTGTATGCATTGAGTACCTATTAGTACATACTATTCCAACAGTGCGCGAAATTACTATTGATGTGTGCACTAATAGTTATTCATTAGTTGTCATTTCAATAGTGCCACAAGTTTTTTTCCGTAAGGGCGGTTCCCACTTTAATTCCTTTTGGTGAGTGGTGGCGGTGGTGTGGTTGCCAGCCACTGTTGCTTCGCCCGTTGCTGTCGGTCGGATCGTTGGACCATGCATTCGACCACCGGCACCTTTTTTTGATCCTGTTTCTGCGGCGGCTCGGTCGGCGTGGTGGCCCCGTCCGTGGTGATCGTGGCGGGGTTCAATTGCTCTCTGAACGTTTTCCTCGCCATGAGTCGCGCCCAGGGATCGATCTGCGGCTTGGCCGGATCGTATTCTTCTAAGAGCTCGTTAATAGCGAAAAGAATGTCTGTTGCTGGCTCCATGGCTCGAGACAAAGTGAGTGCCAGTCATTCCTTACTGTTTGTTGGTCGGGTCCGGGTACCGCGTTGGGGTGTTTTTGTTTGAATTTGACCTTGCGTTTTCATTCAGTTTCCCCGACGGTCTCGTGCTCGTCGGTGTCGATATCGTCGATATCGCTTATGCTCTCGCTCGCGGCGATCGACGCGCCATCGCTTGTCTGTTCGTCGGTACCGTCGGTATCGCGGGATGCCGGTTTTACATCTTGTACGTGTATATGCCTTGCCCATCGGCCCTGTTTATTTCGCAGATCTACTATAACGGGTGATATAATTTTTCAGACCTCGAATGGTCCCCGGAATTTGGGCACTAATTTTGCGTTAAACGCCGCAGCTTTGTTGGAGAGTAGCTATTCCCGTTTCCATACCCACTCTCTGATCGCGGGTTTCCAGGGGCGGCGGCGCAGGTCATAGTATCTCTGCTGTCGCTGGAACGCGCGTGCGAGATTGATTCTTACGAGCTCGAAAGTATCTTCGAGTTGTTTTTGCTTTGCATGGGGTGCTATCTTTCGGTGTGGTGCATTACCACCTGTCGGGTTTAGTTCGCGTCCAAAATGGGCTTTATTAGAAAAAAATAAAATATTCTGAAAATTTTTTCTAATATTCTTTAGACTTATAAAATGTTATAAATAACATTAAAATGTTATTGTTTAAGTTTATTTTGCCATAAAT